ATAACAGTACCCTACAATTTATTCCAAAAAAAAAAAAATGTATGAATATCATACGAATCGACCAATACCAAAGAAATTTCAGAATTAGATAAATCAGTTCTAAACGTACCTCTTGGTCAATTAGGACCATTTCCTGTCCAATTAGGGTTTTGGTTTTGGGATTAATAGCCATTGAATGAGAACAAACACAGACTTGATTTTGAGAGAGAGTGGTTCAATTAATCTGCAAAACTGAAGAGCAGAGATCAATGATCGGGAAGTCGAAAGGAATTAGAAGAACTGATTCCTTAGGATTCTCCGCAACTTTACCAGATGACCAGATCGGAATGAACCAGAAATTATAATTGAAAATCAAACCAAAAACCATACTGGTTTGGAATGGGTAACTCGTGTCCGACGTGGAGGTTTATAGTTCTCTTATTGGTCAATTAAATCTGCCTATGTGGATAGCCTAAGAATCTTTTATATGCAACTTTTAATTATAGTAGATACAACATTCAACATAAAAATCATCGCATGGTCTCCCATGCAACACCTTTTTTGTCAAGTAGAGAAACTCAATTGATTGCATAATGAAAAGTCCTATAATTATAGAAAGACGCTTATTGAGAAATTTGAACAAATTTTATAAAAATAATTTCTTTATATAATGAGAAGAAACACTTCTTAAAAATAATAAGTCTAGAAAGACATTTATTAGGATAGTTTAATTATTTTAAACTAATTTATTCTTATAATGAAAAGATACAATTCTTAAATTTAATAGAGTTCAGTATTGGGATATTTTAACAATTAAAAATATGTTGTCTTTTATAATGAGAATAAACAATTATTAAAATTAATAATTAGAAAAAGACATATATTGTGAAGTTTTAATTATTTTTTAAAACTATTTTATTTTTTATAATGAAAAGACAAAATTAATAAAACTAAATAGAGTTCAGTTTTTTTATGAAAATAAATATTTTTATATTGAAAACACACAACTTTTTAAAATTAATAGAGTTTATGTTTTCATGAAAATACATAACTTTTTTAATAATGTAAAACCACAACAGTTAAAACTAATATTGTTCCCTTTTTATTGAAAAGACACACTTTTTTTTAACAATAATTGAGATTCTTTTATTATTTTTTTCTCTTATAATGAGAAGACATAATTCTTAAAACACTTATTGGGATATTTTAACTACTTTTTAAACCAACTGACTTTTAAAATGAGAAAATAAAATTCTTAAAACTAGTAGAGTTCAACTTTTTTATGAAGACACAACTTTTTAATAATAAACTGATACAACTCTTAAACTAATAGATTTCATTTTTTATGAAATATACAACATTCAACATAAAAATCATCGCATGGTCTCCCATGCAACACCTTTTTATGTCAAGTAAAGAAACTCAATTGATTGCATAATGAAAAGTCCTATAATTATAGTAAGACGCTTATTGAGATATTTGAACAACTTTTATAAAAATAATTTCTTTATATAATGAGAAGAAACACTTCTTAAAAATAATAAGTTTAGAAAGACATTTATTAGGATAGTTTAATTATTTTTAAACTAATTTGTTCTTACAATGAAAAGATACAATTCTTAAATTTAATAGAGTTCAGTATTGGGATATTTTAACAATTAAAAATATGTTGTCTTTTATAAGGAGAATAAACAATTATTAAAACTAATAATTATAAAAAGACATCTATTGAGAGGTTTTAATTATTTTTACAACTATTTTATTTTTTATAATGAAAAGACAAAACTAGTAAAACTAAATAGAGTTCAGTTTTTTATGAAAATAAATATTTTTTATATTGAAAACACACAACTTTTTCAAATTAATAGAGTTTATGTTTTCATGAAAGACATAACTTTTTTAATAATGTAAAACCACAACAGTAAAACTAATATTGTTCCCTTTTCTATGAAAAGACACACTTTTTTTTAACAATAATTAAGATTCTTTTATTATTTTTTTTCTCTTATAATGAGAAGACATAATTCTTAAAACACTTATTGGGATATTTTAACTACTTTTTAAACCAACTGATTTTTAAAATGAGAAAATAAAATTCTTAAAACTAGTAGAGTTCAACTTTTTATGAAGACACAACTTTTTAATAATAAACCGATACAACTCTTAACTAATACATGTGGGAACCGAGATTCACACTTGTCGATTTCCGTTAAATAAGGAAACTTAGGAAAACCCTAATTTCCCAGAGGAACCGGATCTCTGCGAAAGCCAACGACAAGTAACCAAATAAATGCGGAAAAATATGAAAAATGCAATAAAACGAATTTATAAAGAAAGTTGATCTTATTTCCGATTCGCGTAAGAGCGTTGCGATCATTACAAGGAATTACAAAGGCTTTCGCCGCAGGAGCCATCAGCGAGTTACAAACATAAAACCCTAGATCTAGTCGAGTCGCAGCTCGATAACGAAAGACGGAAAAAGATAGGAGAAAAGGTTTGATAGATTTCGGACTGAACCTTATGAAAGGCTTCCTACGTACCCCTTTCGGGGATCAAGTCGAACGTAGTTCAGTTGATAGAGCTGGACCAGAGATCAAACTGCCTGGGCGAGTTCGTCTAGTAATTGAGCGCCAGTCATAGAAACCGAACTTGTCGAGAAAAAGCCTAAGTTTCTAAGTGCGGAAAATTCTAAATCTAGAAAAGTTGTAAAATTCTCAGATGAGAGCTCTGAAATTCGTCCCTCTGCTTCTGCCCTATGCCTCTTGCTTATATACTCCCTTCCTAGGCGGTTTAATCTTTCCATTTCGCCCAGATTCGAGTTGAATGGGAATCTTCCATTTATCTCGATCTTTCTTTTTTTCCCGCGCAAATCTTCTATTTATCCTCAAACTTGATATTTATCTTCAAGTTTGATATTTATCTTCTTTATGCGAGTAAATCGCCAAAACGTCGTCGTATCTTCGGGTTGGACTTCGTTTAAAGTCGCGAGTGGCTTTTATCGCGTTTTATGACTTTCCGAGCCGTTTTGCGTTAAATTCATTTTACAACTTTAGACGAGATCGTTTCCTGATACGATGCCGTTTTTAGATAAGTTTCTCGAGTTAATCGTAAAGCTAAGCAATGTTCGATGTTTCGATTAATCGTTGCCGTTTTTTACGATTTACTCGGGGTTTTATTAAAAACGCGTTTTGTACGATTTTTACGAAAAATCTCGAATAAATCGTATAGTTTAGGCAATATTCGGTGTTTCATTTAACTGTTGCCATTTTATTTGATTTCCTCGAGTTCTTTTCGCGAAAACAAAGTTTTACGGTTTTTATAGTAAAACTCGAACAATAGGACGGATCGAGACGAAACGAGAGACATTTCGACCGTTTTTCGGAATATGCTCGTGTCGAAAGACGTATGCCTTGAATCAAGGATGTGGGAGATCGAGGCTCGGGATGGTCGGCTCGACGTACGGCGAGCTAGTTCAGCTTGGCCAGGTCGCCATATGGCGAACTAGGCGATAAGAACCTGTGGGGAAAAGTCAGCACCTCTTAGTTCGCCGTTGGGGAGTCTCTAGTTTGCCTGCTAGCGAACTAAGCCAGCTTGGCTTAGTTCGCCAGCAGGCGAACTAGTCGGGAGGTTCCTAGTTCGCCAGCAGGCGAACTAGTCGTGACTAGTTCGCGTTTTGCGGCGGTTTTTGTTTTTCGCGATTTTGTAAAACGATTCTCGATTTTTATAAAACGATCTTCGGGTTTTATAAAACGATTATCGAGTTTTATAAAATGATTCTCGAGTTTTATAAAACGATTCTTCGAGTTTTTATAAAACGATCTTCGAGTTTTATAAAACGATTCTCGAGTTTTATAAAATGATCCTCGAGTTTAATAAAACGATTCTCGAGTTTTATAAAACGATTCTCGAGTTTTATAAAACGATTCTCGAGTTTTATAAAATGATTCTAGAGTTTTATAAAACGATTCTCGAGTTTTATAAAACGGCCTTCGAGTTTTATAAAACGATTCTCGAGTTTTATAAAACGATTCTTCGAGTTTTATAAAACGATCTTCGAGTTTTATAAAACGATTCTTTGAGTTTTATAAAACGATTCTTGAGTTTTATAAAACGATTCTCAAGTTTTATAAAACGGTCTTCGAGTTTTATAAAACGATTCTCGAGTTTTATAAAATGATTCTTCGAGTTTTATAAAATGATTCTTAGAGTTTTATAAAACGATTCTTCGAGTTTTATAAAACGATTCTTC